ATTTGTAATTGCATTATAGTCTCCAAATATACAAATTTTGGGGTTGCCAATTTCTATCCATTTCTCATATGAGATTTTATAGAATTCATTCTGATTTTTATCGGGGGCATATATCCCCACCGATAGAATTTTTTTTCATTTTGAACGACCACCTCTACCATTAATATTCTCCCAATTGTATCATTATAGATCCTTTTGGAAGTTGTTTCCTCTTTAATATATAATACAACTCCTCTTTTTTATTTTCTTCTTCTGCTAATTCTGTATACATTTCCCCCCCCCTTTTTTTATTTTGTAAAGTATCTCTGATCCTGCATTTTAATATGAACCTCTTGGAGACAAATTATATCAGCTCTCTGTTTCTCTAATCTAAAAAAAATATTCTCTTCCTATTAGATGGGTCATTGAGTCCATTAATGTTCATAGATATTAGTTTCAATTCTCTTTCCAATTTACCCTTAGTCTAGCTTTTATCCCTCGTTAGTTCTAGACGTTGTTTGACGCCTGGTTCTCACTCAGCGCCTTCGGAAGCATTTAGTCCTGCGAACCATATGAGCATGAAGACATGTTCAGACAGCGCCGGCTCTTCGGTTTTGTAACGAAGATGAGGATCGCCCCGCCACCACCACCCCCGAGCTGGAAATGAGTAGCACGGATGTGCAAGGAGGGGAACCTTTACCTTTTACCTTTAAAACGTACTAGCAGCCCGTCACAATCGTGCCGTAACTCTGAGCGGCTTGGCCCTATTAAAAAAAACAGACCGAACTATATAAAATTGAATAACGTACCTACAACGTGGGCCGTCCTTGAACTTACGATCGCCCAGAATGTATGTCGCTCTGCAAGACAGTTCACAAGTGAGCTTTGCCCCCATTTGAACGACCTTCCTTTGCTTAACTGCAGCGGTCATTCAGTGAGGAACCCGTTGTGAAGTGAATCCAACTTCCCCATAGACTTGGCTGGTCGCCAAAGGGCAACACCCTTTGGCGGTCCCTCAGAAGGTCGCCAAAGGGCAACACTCCACCCACCACCCACCCTCCCAGGACACTGCGACGGTTGTAAATACGCGTCAAGCGTCCGAATGTAAATCACGTGACCTTGGACGACGCCGCAAAGATTGTAAGGGTTGAAAACACTCGTAAGGGCAAAAAACCGCCGCCTTGGTGAAAAACAGTCCTAAGTCCATTTTTCCCCGGTGCCATCGTAACTTCGAACGGTGACTAAACGAACGGTTGCAAATTGAGAACTGCCTCTACCGCTAAGAACGTCAAACCGGTTAGGGTCCATTGGGGGGTGAGAGCCCCCTTAACAGCTGTCCTCCCGCCCCATCTCTGGACAGGTACCAAAGTCTACATCGACCCTTTCACCTACGAGGACCCCAACGAGGCCGTGCGAGAATTTGCCAAGGAGATCGACGTCTCCTACGTGAAGATCGAGGAGGTCATCGGGGCAGGTAGGAATAGGGGCCATCCCTCTGCCCCCAGCCCCCCCCCCCCAATTCCTTTCGGTGGGGCTGCTAGAAAGGGCGGAGTCCTCTCCGCCCAGGGAAAATGAGTTGCTTGCAATTTGTGTGGGGGTCCTTTTGGGGTGGCGGGGGATTGCTTATGGGAACGTCCAGAGGGCAGCCACAACTCGGTGTCGATGTCGCGATGCACACGAAGCGCAGCTAGTCCTCAACGTCCGACAAAAATCGGAACCAGACTGTCCCTCGCCGGGCCGTGAAATGTGTTCCAGGTAATAGACCCATAGAAAGCAAAACTCCGAGGCAGGCAAATTCCTCAAAGAATAGCTTTATCGGATACTAGCTGGATCCCCGGGGCTTCGCTACGAAACTTATGGGGTGGGGCTTAATTTTGGGGGTAGGAAACTAAGGAAAACCCAATTCTGCCTCCGCCTCCCAGCATCCATCAGTATTCGTCTGGCTAGCATCCTGTCAGTGTGTGAGAGAGTGGAGGGCCGTTTGGAAACCAAAAGAGTAAAACAGGAGTCACACTACATATCTCTGCACGTTTCTGCAATAAACCTAAATAGATATACATCCTAATCGGGATGTCTATCTCGCTCTTCTTTTCCTCCGTTTCTACTGCTTCTCCCTCGTTCTATCTGATTGCTCGTATTCCAGTTTCATTTCCCTTGTTTTGTTTTGTTTTTTCTCCTTTTTAAATTCCTTTTTATTTGTACTTTACCGTCTAACCATGGATACCAAGCATTCCAATTTTTTATTTTTTATTTTAAAAAGAAATATTCTCTATCTCTGGCAGGTGAATTTGGGGAGGTCTGCCGTGGTCTCCTGAAGGTGCCGGGCAAGAAGGAGAGCTGCGTGGCCATCAAGACCCTGAAAGGAGGCTACACGGAGAAGCAGCGGCGGGAATTCCTGAGCGAGGCCAGCATCATGGGCCAGTTCGAGCACCCCAACATCATCCGCCTGGACGGGGTCATCACCAGCAGCGTCCCCGTCATGATCATCACCGAGTTCATGGAGAACGGCGCCCTCGATTCCTTCCTGCGGGTGAGGAGAGCGGACAAGGCCCCGAGGAGGGGCGGGCAGGGGGAGGAGGACCCTTTGGGTTCGGGGTTTAGTTTCGTTCGGTCCAGTTGATTATTTTGGTTTAGTTTATTATTGGTTTAGTTTAGTTTGAATGTTTATTTTAGTTTATTTTATTCGTTTAGTTTGTTTTAATATTTTTTTAATCTTATTTTAGCTTATTCTTTTAGTTTAGTTCATTATTTTATTATTTTAGTTCAGTTCAGTTTTTGTTTTAATATTTTTTATTTTAGTTTATTGTTTTATTTAGGTTTATTATTGTAGTAGTTTAGTTTTGTTTGTTTTAATATTTTTTAGTTTAGTTTTTTATTTTATTTAGGTTTATTATTTTATAACTTTAGTAGTTTCTTTTAATATTTTTTAGTTTAGTGTAGTTTTATTTTACTTTAGTTTATTAGTTTAGTTTAGTTTATTATTTTAGTTTATTATTTTACTTTAGTTGAGTTTACTTTAATTTTTTATCTTATTTTAGTTTATTATTTTACTTTAGTTTATTATTTTATTAGTTTAGTTTTGTTTGCTTTAATATTTTTTATTTTAGTTTATTATTTTATTTAGGTTGATTATTTTATTACTTTAGTATAGTTTCTTTTAATATTTTTATTTTATTTTAATTTATTATTTGCTTTTAGTTTATTATTTTATTTTAGTTTATTAGTTT